AGTGTCCACTGGGCTCACTGGGGCAGTGAACATGGCCAAGGGCACCGTCCAGACGGGCGTGGACACCACCAAGACAGTCCTCACAGGCACCAAAGATGCAGTGTCCGCTGGGCTCACTGGGGCAGTGAACATGGCCAAGGGCACCGTCCAAACGGGCATGGACACCACCAAGACTGTCCTGACAGGCACCAAAGATGCAATGTCCACTGGGCTCACTGGAGCAATGGGCGTGGCCAAAGGAACCATCCAGATGAGTGTGGACACCACCAGGACTGTCCTCACAGGCACCAAAGATGCAGTGTCCACTGGGCTCACTGGGTCAGTGAACATGGCCAAGGGCACCATCCAAACTGGCATGGACACCACCAAGACCGTCCTAACAGGCACCAAAGATGCAGTGTCCACTGGGCTCACTGGAGCAATGGGCGTGGCCAAAGGAACCGTCCAGATGGGCGTGGACACCACCAAGACCGTCCTGACAGGCACCAAAGATGCAATGTCCGCTGGGCTCACTGGAGCAATGGGTGTGGCCAAAGGAACCGTCCAGACGGGCGTGGACACCACCAAGACCGTCCTGACAGGCACCAAAGATGCAGTGTCCACTGGGCTCACTGGGGCAGTGAACATGGCCAAGGGCACTGCCCAGACTGGCATGGACACCACCAAGACTGTCCTGATAGGCACCAAAGATGCAGTGTCCACTGGGCTCACTGGAGCAATGGGTGTGGCCAAGGGGGCCGTCCAGACGGGCGTGGACACCACCAAGACTGTCCTAACAGGCACCAAAGATGCAATGTCCGCTGGACTCACTGGGGCAGTGAACATGGCCAAGGGCACTGTCCAAACTGGCATGGATACCACCAAGACCGTCCTCACAGGCACCAAAGATGCAGTGTCCACTGGGCTCACTGGGGCAGTGAACATGGCTAAGGGCACCGTCCAAACTGGCATGGACACCACCAAGACCGTCCTGATAGGCTCCAAAGATGCAGTGTCTGCTGGCCTCACTGGAGCAATGGGTGTGGCCAAGGGGGCCGTCCAGATGGGCATGGACACCACCAAGACTGTCCTAACAGGCACCAAAGATGCAGTGTCCACTGGGCTCACTGGGGCAGTGAACATGGCCAAGGGCACCGTCCAGACGGGCGTGGACACCACCAAGACCGTCCTCACAGGCACCAAAGATGCAATGTCCGCTGGACTCCATGGGGCAATGGGTGTGGCCAAAGGAACCGTCCAGATGGGCGTGGACACCACCAAGACCGTCCTGACAGGCACCAAAGATGCAGTGTCCACTGGGCTCACTGGGGCAATGAACATGGCCAAGGGCACCGTCCAAACTGGCATGGACACCACCAAGACCGTCCTCACAGGGACCAAAGATGCAATGTCCACTGGACTCACTGGAGCAATGGGTGTGGCCAAAGGAACCGTCCAGATGGGCGTGGACACCACCAAGACCGTCCTGACAGGCACCAAAGATGCAGTGTCCACTGGGCTCACTGGGGCAGTGAACATGGCCAAGGGCACCGTCCAGATGGGCGTGGACACCACCAAGACTGTCCTCACAGGCACCAAAGATGCACTGTCCACTGGACTCCATGGGGCAATGGGTGTGGCCAAAGGAACCGTCCAGATGGGCATGGACACCACCAAGACCGTCCTCACAGGCACCAAAGATGCAATGTCCGCTGGACTCACTGGGGCAATGGGCGTGGCCAAAGGAACCGTCCAGACCGGCGTCGACACCACCAAGACCGTCCTGACAGGCACCAAAGATGCAGTGTCCACTGGGCTCACTGGAGCAATGGGTATGGCCAAAGGAACCGTCCAGATGGGCGTGGACACCACCAAGACTGTC